CTTATAAGCCTTGGTGGTGGCGTTGGTTCTTGCTCTGCACTATCAGCTGTGCCCTGCACAAGATACTGGCCTCTCCTCAACTCAGTTTCCTTATCCTCTCCTCTCTGCCTAAATGTTGTAGGGCTCTGGAGCCTACAGGGCCTGTCTGGGTTGTAGAACAAGTAAGAAAAGGGGAAGGGGAAGGGGAAGGAGACACAGGAGTCATTCATTTGGCTATGTTTAGTCAGTTACATTTCTAATTTATCTTGTGTTAGCACGTGGTAGAGGACACTAAATGTTTTTGTTGAATGCTGAGCATCCAGATGGAGAGTTCAGAGTGGGGAGGCTAACAAACATGCACTCACACGGTGCAACACGGGACATGGGATGAAGTGAAGGGCGGTACAGAGAGGACAGCTGTGTCTGGGGGCCCAGCTCAGGCTCCACGGCAAGTGTAGAGGAGACAGAACGAACCCTGTGGGCGGTCAGCCCTTGTCTTCTGTGCGACAGCGTGACTTAATCTAATGGCTGACGGATTATGCCAACTTGAGAAATTTAAAAGCTCAGCTACATCAGCTCAGCACTTCTACACCCTAGGGTATGGAACACCCACCCTGAGACGGCTCCTCTCCTGGACAATATGAAGGGGAAATGAGAAAGGCTGGGTCTGCTTCTGTTTCTTCAGAGGAGCTCCAGTCTTTGCCCTCAGCTTGGATGTCATCTTCCGGCTTTCTGCACAGACTCTTTGGCTTCTGGCATAGACTCTTCAGCCTTCCATCATAGACCCATTGGCCTCCTGATATGGACTTGCATGGACCCTGCAGTGAGCTCCAAACTAAATCGTTCGGTCTCCGGGGTGCAGACAGACACCCTCTGCATGCTTCCTCAGCCACTCTGTGGCTGGCCATCCTAAGCCGATCTCGTCATTTCTTATATATCTGTGCATCTTGTGTTATATTTGTTTCTCTGGTAAAACCCTGACTGATACACTTAATGCAAACGTTTTGGAATTTGAAATAAAGCCTTCGCATGAAATATTCATCCTCTCCTGCTTGTCTGTTTTAGTCAGATTTTCTGAAGAAGGGGAAAAACTAAGCCCAGGAGCCCATGAATATGACATACTGAGCCAGTAACTACAGTTTACAGGTAATTATCACTTACATGCAGTATCCAGTAGGGATTTACAGTGTTATAAAACCGAGGATTGATGCCCTGCCAAGTTCTCCAACTGGGATAATGCCCTGCCATCTATAATTCTAGACTCTCAGAAAATCTGTTTACCAGTGTGGGTCCCAGGACTCCTGGCTTTTGTGCCTGCTGATTTATTTACTTAGCATGGAACTGGAGAAACTTTGTCAAAAGCCAGCAGAATTCATGGAGGATCAGACCCTAAAACTGTCTTGGGCTATGGCTTGAATGTGGGCCCCAAAAGTTCAAGTGTTGGAGCCTTAATTCCTAGTGCAATGGTACTGCGAGGTGGGGTGTTACCCAGGCCCCAGCCAAAGGTTTAAACCTGGGCCTCAACTGTCTGGATTCTTTTACCTGCTCATTCTCAAAAGTAAGAGATAAGATCATAAAAATAGAAAAGTGAGTGTTTTCACAATCTGGCCAAATTGGGAGGGAGCTACTCTGCACCCCTCTTCATGGACAGAAGCATTCCATTTGTAGGGGGAATAGAACAAAACCCAGAAATATGTGTCTGTACATTCACCAGGGAGCACAGAAAAATGTTTTAAGTCTGGTTCTGTTGAAACCTCCTGAGCACCAGGCCCAGGGACGGCAGTTGCTGCCCTTCTCAGCTTCCATCTCAGGGATCTTTACAAGCAGATCACTATGTGGATTTGCGCCTTTTGGATGCGATTAGGCTCCTTCTCCTTCTTGCAGGGCTGGAATGAATACTTGAAAGTGTGGTTCTAAGGCAAGGCTGCCCCATAGGTTTTGCCCTTCTTTTCTACAGGCACCTGTTTGCCCTTCCAACCTGCATCACACTATGAAGCAGCAGGAGGCCCCCAGCCCATGCAGAAACCGATCTTGGGCTTCTGAGCATCTAGAACCATGAGTTTAAATGAGCTTTATGTAAATTCCTCACTCTCAAGCAATCTGTGACAGCAACAGAAAACAACTAGGGCGCCCTGCCAGAGAAAGGCTTTGCCTGCTGTGTTCCAATGGGAGACCCAGCACATAGCACCCGGACGCCAGCCGGTGCAAAGCCACGGTTAATTCCTGGAGTTGGCTCAACCTGATATATAAAAATACTGCACTATGCATGCTTACAGTACTTTGTACCTGTCACGACTCAGTTTCATCCATCATTTTTCCATGACTGTCATAAGATGGACATTATGAAGTCTATTTTACGATGCCCAAGGTCATGGAGCAGGAGTGCTAAGCGTAGCACTTAGACAAGAGCAAAGCTCTTGTTGATAATATCCCTTAGTGATAGGTTATTTCCCTGGCTCCAGAATACATGTTCTCAATGGTGCCAATTAGGTCACAAAGAATCAAGAATGGCACATTTCTCCAGCAACTAGATTCATCATGTTATCAGGTGACAGGGAAAATGTCACCAGTGCCAGGGTGCGCCATCAGAATTAGTCCACCCCTCTAGGCAGATGCCTGTGGAATCTGGAGTCGCAGCAACCAGGAAGACGTCCATGACACAGTGTTTGCAAAATGACCCTAACTCCAGCCCTCCCTGTATCTGCTGTGGGTGGACTCAGCAGCTCCTCCCCGCTGAGGAGGAGGAGCCCTTTCCTCTTCCCTGGAATCCTCACTCCCAACACCTCCTCCCTTCCCCGTGGGTGCTCCTCCACCCTAGTCAGTGCTTTGCATTTTTTCTTTGGTCTTAGCACTGGCTTCTTAGAGACCCCAACCTGCACAATACTGGGAATACAGAAATGAACAAAACAGTCTGGCTTTTAAGGAGAGCAAAAGATGAATGCTTGCAGGAGGAAATGTGGAAATATGTGCATCATTTCTTATGTTCTGGCCTTCTGGCTGTATTTTCCAAAGCCAAACTACGATGAAAAAGTAAAATAAAACTCATAACAAACTAGAGAATGACAATAGTTAATACACCGTGTATCTTAAAAGAATGGCTAAAATGTTACTCAGAGAACAAGTGATAGACAAAACCTCTCTCTTACAAAGAAGAAATAAATACATAAAAGCACAAAATTTTCTCTTCAGTGAACTAACAGAAATGAGTAGTATCAATGAAACATATAAGCATATATGTTAAAGTATCTTTGAAACAATGAATAGCTAATTTGGGGAATTATTTGGACTTCTACCTACTTGTTATTTAATTATCATATATACAGAAAGAGAGAGATGAGAGAGAGAGTTTCTCATACAAGAGAAGCCATGTATTTAAGTGTGTGTGTCTGACTTATTTCATTTAACATTATGTTCTCAGGTTGCATCCATTTACCTACAAATGCCTCAAGTTTATCTTTCTTTATGGTCCAGTAGTACTCCATTGTGTGTAAATATCACATTTTCTTTACCCATTCACCCACTGATGAACATATAGACTGCTTCCAAGATCTAACTATGAAATTTTGTTTTACTTTTTTGTAGAAGTAGTAAGAGTTCTTTATATATTTTCCTCATTAATAGACATTTGTGTTACATTAAAATAAAAAAATTAGGATGGAAGTTTAGATATATCAATCACATGTAGATAACATAGCCTGAACCAAACTTCTTTGGTGGTGAAATTTCCAATTTTTTTTTTCTTTTTGAGACAGCATCGCACTATGCAGTTCAGGTTGGCCTTGAACTTACTTTGTAGCTCAGACTGGCCTCAAACTCACAATGATCTTCCTGCCTCCAACCAACCCAAATGTGCCACCACACCTGGCTCCAATTTTTTAATATGCCATGGATGGCACAGTCAAATTTTCTTAACAGGAAGCCATCGCTTAAAATAATGTCTACCCTTCTCTGGATGAAAATTCAGTGTTTTTCCATTGTCCAGAAAACATTGTGGTTCTATCACCTGCATTTACAATATAGCTTTGTCTTCCATGGCTATAAATGTGTGACTCAAATTGGCAAAATATGCCATTGAGGACATCGGGTGAAAAGTAGACAAGGACCCATTTCATTCACCAGGGCAGAGAGCCCAGCGGACAATTCCAGCACAAGCAGATTCACATACAGAAACTCTCTCCCTGTGTCAGTTACTATCAAACCAGAAGGTCTCTGTCTTCACATTGAAGCCCACATCTCCCCTGCCGGCCTGGCAGTAATATTGTTTGAATATCATGTGTTAGGCACTACACAGCAACATAGGCAGCAGTAGTAAATAAACAAAGAAACACCACCTGTCTGGCATACCCATGGAAGTGTACCAAAGAGATAATTTGCCAAGTGACCAAAGCTTATGACTTTGAGTGTCCAAATCCTCCCAATTCCATATCTCCACTTTACCACCCTATCTGAACCCTACTCCCCTCCCCTGGAGGTCTTCTGCTCTACTTTGTTTCTCTGCAGGCCAGACAGGATTTGAAGGAGATCAAGTCACACTTCTAGTTGAGACTTCCCAACAGCTCCATTTCTCTCTGTAAATTAAAATCTGGGGAATTAGGGACAAAGGCATGGTTCTGCCAGGTCACACTGTGGCATCCTGGCCCCCAGTTATGCCAATAATAGTGCTGGTGCTTCTCAAATCAGTCAGCCACAAAGCCTGCCACAGTGGGATAGTGAACTGGTCCCTCTCCAACAATCCCCCTACAGCCCTGCTGGGTCTCTGCTCATGGGTCTAGAATGTGATGGCTGTGAGGACCCACCGCACCCCTGTTCCTGGACCTGGGAGTTTTCTCCCAACAAAGTCTCCAGCAGCTTGGGGGCTGTGAAAATGCGGGTACACGCTTTTATGGGAAGTGGGGCTTATTTTCATACTGTGTATCTCAAAGGTCACATCCAATCATGTTTTTAGCTAAAGCAATAAAGACAACTTCTGAACGTCTGGATTTCTAAATATGCCTGTGCAGGACAAAAATTGAACAGGTTACCTGGCCTCTATGGTGCACATGGGAGGCTTGTCTGAGTTTGTGATCCACAGAGGGCATTCCTTCCACATTTTGGGTACACTGCTGATGGCTTTTCTTTTCCATGAGGGTATTCTGCTTGGCTTTGGGGTCAGATTAACCTCTGGTGGGAAGTGATGTCTTTCTAAGATCCTTTCCAAGCCAGACAGGTCAGCTGTCTCACCTGGCAATGGGATAAGCATTGACACAAGTTGGTTTCCTCTCCATATCTGTATACTGCAAGAGCCACACAGCACTGATACGAGACAGACGACTTATGCTGCCTTCCCATTCCTTTCCAGCTCTGCCATGCCTTTATCCGGTACTGCTGAATGACATTTAGATCTTAGCTTGATGTTAGAGCTCCAACAGATGCACTGTAAATGAACGAATGAATTGACAGAACAGGCCGGGACTACTACAATACCACATGATTCTCAAGCCAATAGTAAGATACCTAATAATATTTGTTATTACTGTAATTCTCATTTTCCCTTTTATTGCAGACTTACAGATGTGCATTTTAAAGCTTCTCAGAAGAAATGGGATGGACAATGACACTGTTGTCTGACTCTTGTCTTGGGGCTCCCATATATTGGTGATTTTTGTGTAAGTGGTAGCCACAACATAAGGATTCAACTTAAAATAATAGTGTGCTTTATTAGGAAGCATCTGGGAGTATAACTTATTAATACTTTCTGATTCCACAAAATTGACTCCTGGCCAAAGATGAGCTGTTTGTTGTTGTTGTTTTTTAAAAATCTGTTGTATAAGTCAGTGTTTTCTAGGGAAACAGGTTGTCATGGTTTGGGGTTTTACTAGGAAAACAATATAATGCAGGGCACATATTTTATAAGGTTATTTATAATAGTCACCCAAAGAATCATATACAAGAAAGTGCAGGAAAACTATTCACACACTAAAGACTAAAGAATCCAGCTGAGGGCCTGGATCCCATGGTAATCTCCTTTATGAGTCCATCTGGAGGTCTAGAGCCCATGATAATCTCATGCAGGCCTGTTTAACGGATCTGTGCTGGGAAGGCCCAAAGGTCAGTGGTGGAAGGTAGAAAGTCTGTGCCAGCGGGATGAAGGATCTGTGCCAGCAGGCTGAGGGATCTGCTCTGGAGCCAGGAAGCGATGCTCAAAGTAAGAACCAGAGCTCCTCCAGAAGGTACCACAGCCATCCTCAGCAACAGTGAGGTTCCAAGCTCCTCTGATGATGAGGAAAGCCAAGTTCCCATCAGGAAAGCCAGCATGACAAACTTCTCCAGGAGACTGGCAGTGCACCATCTTCACTTCCGGAGCCAGGAAGCAATGCTCAGAGTGAGGACCAGAGCTCCCCCAAAGTGAACCGAAGCCATCCTCAGTGCCAAAGAGGTCCTGAGCTCCTCGGAGGATGAAAGCAGCCAAGTTCATCAGGAAAGCCAGCATGACAAGCTCCTCCAAGAGAACCAACAGCTCTTCATAGCTTCTAACAGCACCCAACAGATTTTACCAGCTCCCAACAGCCTCTCTCAGTTCCCAACAACCTCTTATGCTGCTGGCAACAATCCTCAGGTGGGCCTCCCACACCCAGCACCACGCTGATTCAGATCAGCTGGGGGTTATAAGTTGATCACCAGTTGTCAATCCACCACACAGGTATAACATAGGATTTACAAATATATGAGAATTTATAAGATAGACTTATAATGGCCACCCACAGAGTGGATGAGGAAGCGTGTAGAAGGTGTCTGCACACTGGAGACTCAAGGAGTCAGTCCAAGGTCCGGAGCTCACTGCAGTGTCCCATGGGAGTCCATATCAGGAGGCTGATGGGTCTGCGATGGAAGGATCAAGAGTCTGCTGGAAGCCAGCAGATGACAGCCAAGGTGAAGGCGAAGGCTGGAGCTCCTGTGAAGAAACAGAAGCAGATCTACCCTTTTTTACTTCTGCTTTATACCATCCAAGTGAGAAGCCACCTAGGGTGGGTTTTCCCGCACTGGGGTGTAGAACTGCTGAGCCAATTTAGTTGAGCTTCTCTTATTGAAATCGATGCACTCAATCAACAATCACATCTGTTATAAGCGTGTCTATTCTTCAACTGTTCCAGTGGCAGTTCTCTTCGGATTTTGGAGAGCTCCGGTAATTGAGAATTGGGGGACAGCTCACAGTGGATCCTTGGCTTCTGTTATCTCTCATTGCTTGTTTGTAAGTAAAAAGCCCGCTTCACATAGCTTGTGTATTGGGGAAGTAAGATCTGATCCATCAGGCTTAGACAAATTGGTAAGCAGCACAGAGTGAAAGTACTTCATAGGTACTACTTCTCATAGAGAAGGGAATTTGGAAGTCACCTTAAGAATACCAACTACCACAAAGAATGTGACTGTTTGTGTCACAAACACGTCCTGATGCAAATAAAAATAACAACAGAAAGAACGGGAGATGCTTCATCAAAGATCAAGAACCAGGGGCAGCAGGCAAGGAGCTGAAAGAAGCTGACGGCTCCTACAGAACTCTGAGTACCAGAGGGTGACAGTCCTTTTGTGAGGGTGTGGAGTGAGAGTACTGAAATCCAAGGAGGAGGAAAAGACTAATTTTTTGTGTCTGGGGAAGGTGGGATTCCATAGCACCGTGCTTAATGCATACCAAGCCGGATTCAATCACCCGTGTACAGTTGTTTTGGTCCTCAGACTTGTTCAGTGTGCTGTGCTTTTATAACACATCCACTGAGCCACACTGACCTCAACTGGCCTCTAACCAAATCGCTCATCTGTAGTGGGGCAAAGAGCTTGTCGTACAATGAAAGTGAATATATTACGTGCTTCGTGGTCAATTTTGCTGTAAGAAAAAAAGAAAAGAGGGAGGAAGAAAGAAAGGAATGAAGAAAATAAGGAAGGGAAGAGGCTGGGAGGGAGGAGGGACAGAGAGGGGAAGGGAAGAGGAGGAGGGGAGGGGATGAGAGGAGGGGGAAGAGGGGAGAGGAGGACAGAAAATCCAGTCAGCTGAACTACATAGCGCTTTGAGTGATACAGTTGACTTCTACTGTAGGATGAACCTATCTTTTCTTCAACTGGTGAAAATTTAAGAACCAACAGTCAAGTTACAGATCATCCCCTGAGTAGCTCTTTGGTCCACTTGGATATATTAGAAAATAAATCAGCACCCCTAAACTACTGTAAGCAGAGAGGCTGAACCTCCCAGAGCTGCCGGGTGAGCCACAGAGGGATTGCACCGGAACTGGCCCAGCCTCCCGTTTTCGCAGGATGAACCCAGACGGGCCCTTCCATAGCACAGCAGTGGGCAGAGACCAAGATTGGCTGAAGGAGCCAGAGCTTGGCAACCTGACTAAACGGAGTATCCTCTGATGAACAGAGCGGCCGGTCCAGGTCTCTCAACCACTCTGAGTGGATCTGGGTCAAGAACAAGACTGGAAAAAAGGCTCCAGCAGGCTAAGGCCTCCACCTCCTACGCTCAGTAGACACATTCAGGGTGTGAAGGACACCCTCACAAGCCCACCCCGGTAACACGCATGACACATGCTTTCTTTGGTTCCCAGAACTTCAAAGTTGAATTTAATATTCACCTCAGTAAATCTAATTCGGGTACTTGGTAACATCTGATTATAACTGGTTTGCATCGAATAAACTTTTATTCTCTTACATACTGGTGTGGTTCCACTGAGCACCCCTCAGAGGTCCAAATGTGAAGGTCTGGCCCTGGCATGCTGTGTGCCTCTAAGAGGGGGCCTGGTAGGAGGGCACTGGTGGCTACCTCTGCAGGGGACTGTGTGCCTGTCTCTTCTTGTCTCTTTCTCTCCTCAGGGATGACAGCGAGGCAACTACAAGCCAAGGAGCTCCAGGGTTTGGGGCCAAGAGCAAAGCGAGGAAGAGACGTTGAAAGATTCTCCCTAGAGGCTTCGGAGGGAGCAGGGCAGTGGTATCTGGATTCCGAGTTCAAGCCTCCTCATCTGTGAGGTGGTCAATGTGGTGTCTGAAGCCACCCAGCTTGCGCTACTATTATGGCCATGCAGATCCATATGCTTAGAAAAGAGCTCGGGAAGGGGACACCACACTCGGGGCAAGGTGCAGGTGCTTTTCCATTCTACCATGTAGACTTCTTGGAGTAGTTTGGTCATGTTTGTTAATCATGGAAGCAGCTTCTCTTTTGTCTTCTAAGCTCACGGGCAAAGTGGCTCCATCTATTTGTGTCTTCCCTTCAATCACGGACAATTCTGGAGGTAGGCTTTAGTTCAAGAACAGCAAGCTGTTTTCAGCAAAGTACAAAAATTGCTGGTTACTGTCTGGGTGTAGTGGCACATGTCAGAGGGCTGAGGCAAGCAGAGCACTTGTGCCAAGGGGTTGAAAGCCAGCCTGCATAATACAACAAGATTCCATCTCAAAAATAATGATAATAATAACTAGCACATTGCATATAACCTCAGGGAAATAGTCACCTTCTACCTGGGATGATAGAACCATGGCACTAGGAGAAAGAGGTAGTAGAACATAGAACAAAGGAATCAAGTTTAAAATTAGACCTCCTACTAGGCGTTTTCTCACTAATCTTAACAATCAAATCTAAAGATTAATTTGTGAGTTTAGTAGTACTTCCCACCTGGTCGGTTTCCATGGGTATGTTTTGCCTGAAAAGTGGCCTAGCTTGCTTGTAAAAGACAAAACAAAAGAAGCAGAGGAAGAAATGATTGCGTCAGTGTCTGGGTAGGTTCTATACCATTCTCTGAGCACACAGTCCTGTGAGCACATGGGTGGGACCCAAGTCTGAAGACCTGATCACATCTACAAGAGTAAGTTCTTACTCTTAGCTACAAGGAGCGACATTTTGAGCTGACCGTGGTGGCACATGGCTGTAATCCCTCAACTCTGAGAGGCTGAGGGTGGAGGATTGTAAATTCCAGTCCTACCTGGAATTTATCAAGATCCTGTCTCAAAATAAAAGAGAAAAACAGCTGGGGCTATAGCTCAACTTGAAGGCTCTGAGTTCGATCTCCAAGACCACCCCCAAAAGAGACAGTTTGTATCAAGGTAAAATGTGTGCTTGCTAAAGAGTTCACATGCATCCCCGACTCACATACATTTCTTTTTGTCCTCGTCACTCTTGTAGGAATAAAGCATCTCCATCATACGATTTGGAAGCAACTTATGGAGGTTAGACAGAGTCTCAAAGGTGCGACGTAGAACATCAGGTCTGGCATAGTTTTTCGGCTCTCTTTTTTGGCCGACAGGGAGGAATTTCTTTACCAGTGGATTGTTGCTGGTGGTGCTCATGACGGACCCCTGAGTCACAGAGATTGACAAATGGAGGATTCAGAGTGAAGGGTGCCTCCTCGTCCCTCCCAGCTCCCGTCCATTTCCAAGGAGGGGTTATGGGATCTCCTTTCCGGCCTCTTGCCTGTCCACATTCTGAGCGTCACAATGGAACAGGTGGGGGCCTGGAACCTTGGGAGCGCATCCTCCATCTTCAAGTGAGAGAAGCAGTCCAGAGAAAATATCCCATCAGTCTTTCAGGGATTTTCCCCAGAAATTCCTCTTTCCATATGGATTTGGACAAGTGCTGAGGACAGAAGTGAGCTTTCCTGCAGGAAAGGGAAGGGACGCGGGCAGACACACACCCAGCGTTATTTTCCCATCCGGCACTTGGCAGAGCCCTTGCACGCTGTGTGTGCATAATTAAGAGTCTGCAGACCGCCAAGGCCCCGCAGGAGAGACTGAACATCTGTCACAACCCTCAGCAGAATCAAGGGCAGAGAGGCATGGTCCCCAACTAGGAGATGTCCAGGTTAGCACAGGTAAGAGCTCAAGTGGCTTCTTACTCTCTGAGCCTCACTGACAGGGAGGAAGCAAAGGAAACAGACTGAAATTTTTGCTCATAGCTTGATGGACAGATAGTGATAAGAAGCCATTCTTCATTTTAGACCAAGGAACACAGAGCAACAGGGCTACTAGTTTGAAACCACCAATCTTGGTAGCATAGCCCTGAGCAAATCAAAGCTCCCAAGAACTACTCTCTGATTTGGGGGGAAATGCACGAAGCAAGGCTTGTTAGATTGCCGCTTCATTTCAGCATGCTCTACAGGCAGAGGAACCAGGCTCCCTAGAACTACTCGCCTCTTTTTGAACAGCTGCAGAATGGTGAGAAATGGGAAATTTGAGCCAAACACCTGATGGCAGAACCTGCTAGAAGAGGCCAGTTTTGTTTTGTTTTTATCAAACATAAGAACTCTTGGCCACGGATATAAAAATAGCAAGATTAGACCACATGGTACATTAGTGTCCAGAGCAGGAAACATGACATCTCATTTTTAAACTCTCAACTTGCCAACTCAAAAGTAAAACTTTGTATAAAATGGTGGACTTTGAGTATGAACATATTTTAACTGATATAGAACTAACATGACCATTTGCATGTGATGCGATTCTCATTACTATGGTGTTTGGGGAGGGAGAAGATGACGGGGCTTGGCAGGCAGGATATTCTGGGAGGTGAAGACATCCCCTGGCTTCTTTCTTCAAACAAAAATTGAGTGCATCACTTGAACATTTTCATGAATAAAAACGAACAAAATTTTAAGCCATTCAACATGCTAAGGAAGTCATGTGTTAAAGAGGTTTTTTACATGCCATGTATATAAATTGATCATATGTTTGTGATCATTGCTTTAAAAAGCCAACCCTGGAATGCTCGCTTATAGCTCTCTGAAGTTTCCATATGGAAACTGAAGGTCAAGGTCAGCTGGCTGAAACCAGAAAGAGATCGTAATTATTAAAGTTAAATTAGCAAAAAGACAAAAAAATAGCAGATGCCGGCAAGGTTGACGAGAGCTCTGGCGTTGTTGGAGGAAATGAAAATTAGCACAGCTACTGTGGGAAATGCACAAAGGGTCACCAAAAAATTACAGCTAGAACTGTAGACACAGCAAGTCCACTGCTAGGTATATATGGGAGGAAATGGAATCCGTATGCTGCAGAAACATCTGCATTCCCATGTTTATTGCAGCAACGTTCACAATCAATAACCAGGTTGTGAAACCAGCCTAAATGTCCGTCAGTGGATGAATGGAGAAAGAAAATGTGGTATATATTGGAATGCTATTCAGCCATACTTTTTACTCTTGTTATTATTATTATTAATTTTGTTTTGTTTTGTTTTGTTTTGTTTTTTGACAGAGGGTCTCACTATGTAGTTCAGGCTGGCCTAAAGTTTACTATCTAGCCCAGCCTGGCCTCAAACTTGTGGCACTACTCCTGCCTCAGCCTCCTGAGTGCTGGGATTACAGGCATGTACCACCACACCCAGCTTCATAAATTTTATTTTTAAACAAACCATCAGGTAGATAAATGTTTTCTAAAAATTTTTTAATGAGTAAGTCTTGTTCTAGTAATCAGTCTCACTCCTTTTTTTAAATAACAGTGTGGGGAAAAGCAATGTCTGGAGAGGAAGGTAACTGTCAGGAACACAGGCTGCTAACTATGTAGCCCCTAAAGTCGTGGCTTAAGCCACCCTGGTCTTAGCCTGTGGTCCTAATAGTCTTTGATGGGACAAATGCTTCCATGTTGTGTCTCCTTTTGTATTGCTCTTATTTCCAGTTTTTTTCTCCAGTGGCCACTATATTTACCTTTGTCCACACCATGTTTTTAATCTATCATTATTGTCTCCCAAGAACAGTCGAGAGCAGATGCACCTTAGCCAGGTGCTGTTCTTGTGGCTGAGTGACTCTAGCGGCTGCTCAGGGCTGGAGATCATTAGTAACTACATTGATCCCACAGCAGGCAGTGGCAGGGCAGGACGCTGGATTGTTTTTGTAGTTAGGCTGATCTTTTATTCATAACTTTTAGGTAAATGGCAATTCCTTTCCTCCCTCCCATTCTCTGTCTCTGTCTCTCTCTCTGCCTCTCTGTCTCTGTCTCTCTTTGTCTCTCTGTCCTCCACCCTCACAGAGAGCTGCTTTGTCTCCAGAAGGCCTTCCCCTTGCTCCTGGCCACAGTGCAAGCAACAAGGTCAGCTGGATTCCAGAAGACAGAGTGTTCAGTAACGTTCAGAGGGACGAGATCCTCTCCAGGTTTCTCAAAGGAAGTGTCCTCAAGAGAATGTTCGGATCGCCGCAGATGAGGCAGGGGGTTCCTGAGGACCAGAAAGAGGATCCCAGTCACACCCTTCCTGGCCCCAGAATGTAAGTTCTGATACTGAAACTTACACCAAAATTTAAAGTGAGTTTGTGCTAGCAGGCTAAAGAAACCCATCCACAGAGTATGGGTATCAGAAGCAAGGCAATCCCTGAGAATCCAGTCTTGCAGTAAAGCCAGCAAAAAGGAGGAAAGGTATGATTGAGAATTTATTCAAAAGTACTAGTGGCAACACATCCAGGTGTGGAATTTACTGATGTGTGTGTTTATCTTATGTCCTTTTGGGAATATGTTTGGCTATATCACTATCACATTTATTCCAGGAATAAGTAGATTGTAAGCCAGATTTTTATATATCTGCAACAAAATGATAGTCTTTCAAGTAAAATGGTTAAGAGAGCAAAACATTAAAGGTTAACTTTTAAAACAAAATTTTAAAGTAGGAAAAGCAGGAAAAAAAACCTTCGAAGTAGAAATACTATCTGTATATTTCTTTAAAAAGGAATTCTGGGGGGCTGGGGATTTAGCTCAGCGGCAAAGCGCCTGCCTGGCAAGCGCAAGGTCGTGAGTTCGGTTCCCGGTACCGGAGAAAAACCAAAAACAAAACAAAACAAAAAACCAAAAAAAAAAAAGGAATTCTGCAAGCACAAGCAAGTTAGGATATTTAAGATGAATGCAGAATCTTGCAGTAGGATAAATAGATTCATTACTGCTGAAGGACACAGAAATTGCTAGGAATACAATGACAAAATTAAAAAGGGTTAGTAATTTAAACCATATGTTAAGCACAAGTTGATTTGAAATGTCTTCCACTGATGAAGCATCTTACATGAGAGCAATAACCTGCATATTGTTAGTTAGAAAATATTGTTCTGACTTCTGAAAATGTTTACGTAATTACACCGAACGGATTTCTGCTGCTGACTGCCGACAGCCGTGCTCTCTGTGATCCTGCGGGGAGAAGCAAAGGCAGATGGGTCTGGTGCGTGGGCAGCACGGACCCATGAAGGGCTCTGTGGAGGCCAACGGAAATGGAAGCATTCCCTGCACAGCAATCGGAAACCGAGCAGTGCCGCCCCTTTATATCTCTTTGCATAACCCCGACAACGAGAAAGTGGCATCCCAAGGTGCTGTCCACTGTACTTCTCTGATCAACAGTATTGCCGGCTTTCCCATAGGAGAGGAACTGGAGGTGGCGGCAAGACAGGCTGGCCGGACCCACTAAGTGACCCGCTCACAGCTTGCCTTCTTTCCCTCTGCCTCGGACCCACTCCCACCAGTGCAATGAACAGATCCTGCTAAGTGCCATGAGGCCAGCGGATCTATGTATTGCTCTTCTTTTTTGAAAGCATGGTTTCACTCTAGGTTAGCTAAATGGATGCAACTCTAAACTGAGGAAAACTGGAGGCCACCACTAAGATCTGTGTCCTTGCATTGACATGGCCACTGCAGACGTGCACAGTTTGCAGTGATGGGGAAGGACAGCCACCATCTCTGTGCCACCGTCAGAGCACTCAGAAGTCTCCAGAGAAAGGAAGAACAGTCACGGGGGGTGGTTGGCATGGCTATGTCTCGATGTCCGCTCCACAGCTTCATGTGGTCATAGGTGGGGCTTTTCTTAGAGCTGGCTGGATCTGGAGTGTGCAATGCTGGGGTTGACTCCTGGTGCAAAGCCAGGATCAAGAGCATTAGGATTAAGGGTGTGAGTGCTACCTGAGAAGCCTGATAAGACATAAAGGACAGGAAGAGTTGTGCTCATTCCTTGCTTGCTTACATTTGCTGTCTTCTGCTGCCATGGACTGTCTCCTCTACAAACTGTGAGCTAAAAAAACCTTTCTTCCCTTAATCTGTGAGGTTGGGTATTTTGTCTCAGCAACCAAAAAAGTAACTAAAACAATGATAACAGGAAAGGAAGGCGGAAGACATTGTACTACACTGATCTACACACACCCATGTTCATAGCAGCACAATTCATAATAGTTCAAGTTGGAAGTAACCTATATGCCCATCAACAGATGAGTGGATGAAGAAAATGTACTTATGATGGGCATGGTGGTGCACAACTATAATCCCAGCATTCAGGAGGCTGAGGCAGGAGGATCACCATGAGTTTGAGGCCAGTTTGGGCTGTATAGTGAGTTCAAGGCCAGCGTGGGCTACATAATGAGATTCTGTCTGGAAGGAGAAGGAGAAGGAGAAGGAGAAGGAGAAGGAAGGAGAAGGAGGAGAAGAAGAAGAAGAAGATGAAGAAGAAGAAGAAGAAGAAGAAGAAGAAGAAGAAGAAGAAGAAGAAGAAGAAGAA